CAGTTTTTACATCCCCAAAGGGTTTTATTTTCTCTCTCTTTGTAGTTGACAGTCTCCTTTATTTTATTTTTTTACCTCGTGCTTTGTGCCCTTGCTCTGATCTCTGAGCCGACACAATAAAATGTTGCACGTCCTTCAAACTTTTCTTTTCTAAAAAATTTCCAATGAGTGCCCCGCCACTTTACGTTGTGTGAAATTGCCTCCCCCTCTGCGCCTCTCCCTTTCTTCACGGCCTGCACCCGACGACACGTGGGGTCCAGCGGACTTTTTTTTGTGTGAAAATGATTAATTGAGGAAGTGTCCACGAGCGCTCATGTGTAATGATGAAAGCAAAAATCGGCCACACAAGCGCAATTTTTCGCGACCGCCGGGATTTGTAAAGAAAGAACAATTTGCACGCACGACTCTGGACTTCTGCCGAAAGCCGTCTGCCTGCGTGAGCGCACGCAGCTTTGCTCGAACATCTGCACATAGATTTCATGCATGTCAAATAAGTAAACAGGCTTCCTTGCCGCATCTGTTTATTTTTTAATTTTTCTCTTGATCTAAACGCAGAAAATCCAGTGAAACATCATTAGACGTCTGAACGAGAGAGGGACGTTGCGATGTCATTTGCCTTATTCGATTGGAAACCACTCAAAAGGGGGAGGCTCTCAATTATGATACCCCATTTGAAAGGGTAATGAAAGTACTGCTCCATTAGTATCTTTTGGGGAGTACTAAGTCCAATGATGATCCTTTAGCATTGCGGTGCCCTCTGAATGCCACTGAACACAGGCACATCCAATGGAAAGCTCTCATCACGTCTTTAAGCGCTGGACGGGTAATGCCCTGGATTGTATTATCATTTCTACTTTCACCCTTCAGCTTTTCATCGGCCTGTCTCTTTTCATCTCTGTATGAAGCATCCCCCCACCCCTCACCCACCCTTTGCATATTAGAGGAATTTAAGACTTTCCGTCCCTCTGTGAGTTTTATGTTTTGCTCTGTCAGTTCAGATAATTTCACTGCCGGCCGCTGATGTTGATGAAATTAAGTGTTCCCTCTGACCTTTTGGATGAGTCCACTAAATTATCTTAGCAGCTCGAGAAGACAAATTATTACTTTTATTTTTTTTACATTTCTCCCCCACTCGCTCCCTCTGGACTCAGATTTTGACCATAACAGATGCGGGTGCCGAGGCGCTGAACTTTGTCATTTGCTTCGGAATCATTTCCTTTGAGAGTCGCATCGACTTCCCTGACATTCAATCACATTATTTTGCCGTGATGATTTTTTATGTATTTATTTTTCTGCCTGCCACCTGTGACCTGAACTGCACACACACCGCAGCGCATGACAAAATGCTGTGTAAATCAAAGCCCCAGGACGCCTCGTACCTATCCTGCCAACCGCTTCTCATGTCGAGAAAGGGCCATTCGGCGCCAGAGACGGTGGCTTTTTGGTAAACAAAGCAGACGCTGCTGAACATGCGGCACGGCGCTCTCACTCCCTCCTACAATATTTTAATTTGATTTCTTCCATGCCACCTGCGGGGGGTGATGCTCTAGCACTCAAATGCAGCTGACGACCTGTTACTATGGGGGTGTGATAAAGCGTAAGCTTACAGCAGCCATAACCGTTTTTTTTTTTTTTTCTTTTTTTAAGGGCATGATAGCCCACAGGTAAGTGATTTACAGAAAATCAGGTTGACGCTCTCGAATCCCCCCGCTGGAGAGGCATTGGCCAAGGACAAGTGCTTGTAATTTTTTTGAAGTGTCAGCGTTTCTCCACACAGTTTACCGTGGGCTCTACAGGGATAAATTCACACACAGTTTTTCCACGCTGAAATTGCTTTTTCCAAACGCGTCTTTTGACTCCAGGACCTTTCAAATTGTCAGAAATTGCTGTTTGTAAGCTTGTCTCGACATAGTTTACCTCCAGCTTCACACATTCACGTCGTCGGGATGTTTTACCGCGCTTGTATTGGACTGATTATGGTGTGCATGGCTGATTTGACTCGGTTTATGGGAAAAAAAATTGAGCATATTTTCTGAATTTATATTTAACGGACATTTACATCAGGAAAATGTGTAGCCCTTAACTGATCTAAACATTTGCCTTTACTTTCCATCACTTTTATAATGTGAGATGATTCGAATTACTATACAAATCCCCACGGTTACTACTGAAGCGAGAAAAAAAAACAAAAAACAAACTCTAAACAAAACCAATAACGTGATCATAATACACAGTATAATCTTTGACAAAAAACTTACTAGAACTCACTTTGATCCAAGCAGAAAATCTGCTCACCATTTGAAGTTCTTAAAGGTTTCACAGGAAGTAACACAATAATGAAAGAGCAAAGGGAGACCAAAGATAAACCGGAACCTGCAGACCCTCCACTGTCGTTAAAGTCTGTTGTCTGGGAGCATTAAAGCTTCTCAGTCAATCATAGTGATTTTAGAAACAACAAAAAAACTGTTTGCAGAGTTTAACTGCAATAAATTATATAGATGGCTTTTTTTTTATCTAATTCTTGAAACGCCATCATCCAACTTTAAACATAACTGCTACAAACAAGGTTTCTTTTAAATCTACTTTTCAAATTCTTCATTTCAAATCTTTAAGAATGTATTAATTAAGAATAGACTGATACAGTTCAAGATGTTATTCAGAGCTGATATTGCCATAGTTAATCTACAGATTCACACATGCCATGGTTCTGAGTTGCAGGAGGCGGCATTTTTGAAGGATTTTTCTCCTGAAGCTAAATGATAAACAGTTGTAGTTTTCTTATAAATTCAGCTTATCAATGGAAGTTTTGTTTTTATTATACAGCAAATACATAAAATCCTAAATGAGCAGGTAGCGCTTAGAGGCCTGTGGAGAGGGAAGAAAGGTATTTTAGTGTTGACAAGAAGAAAGCACAAGATGGATGTTTGCTGTGCTTTCAATATTTACAGCTGTGGAAGTTTTGTTTAATTTTTTAAAGAATAATAAGTGATGAGTGAAGCTTGAACCTCTGCAGAGGAGCAGCAAAGAGCAGCATCAGGAGAGCTAACAGGATTACAGAATGTTGCCTCATTTCAGGGTATTGAATTTTCAAACTCTTCTACCGCGGAAGATGTTGGATTTGGAAACAATGGCAGCCTGTTGGAAGGACGTCACACAAGGTAGGAATATTTAAAAATCAAGAAAATACAAAAGGGCTGTTTTAGTTTCAAACCACACATACCTGTGTGGTTTGTTCATATTTGCATACAGAACTTTGGAAAAGCATACGCTCTTTACAGATTTCCACGTGTTCGCCTTCTAAAAAATCATTTAACAAATTTAAATAGATGCCTCGGCGTGCTTTTAATATCAGAGGTGTTCGCACATCGATAGCCTGTTCAGGCCATTCATATGTAAATGGCGGCATCTGAATCCGATTTAAGTTCAGACTGTGATTAGATGACTCTAAAGTGTTGTATTTCCCCTTGATGCCCCAATGACAGACGTGAAGATATTTTTAGAATTTCTTTAGATTGGGGCATAATGTGTTGCTTTTTTAGATGTTTTAGCCTAATAAATAATGTGTTAGTGTTAAAGTCCCATTAGTTATACATATTTAGGTATTTTTCTGTAGTGTCCACATATAAGTCCGCAGACTGGTCAATGTTAACAAGTAACGTCTCGTTTCTTTACAGCCTGGGTTCCACAGAGCGAGGAATCGAAGATGTGAAAAAGAAACAATAATCTCATGTCTAAGCATTAGGATGAACACATTCAGCAGTCATATCAGGACGAAGCTATGACAGCACCAAAGAATACAGAGCCATTAGAGAGCCATTTACACAATAATGCTGACATCTTAAGTTATAGTGACGGCCTTACCAGAATGCAGTATGAGGAAGAAAACCCCCAGCTGGAGCGGGTTGTGTGCTCCGGCAGACAGAACCGAGCCCGCAGTCAGCCACAAGTCTGGCCCTGTCCAAAAAAAGAAAAAAGAAATTCACCTCGCTGCACCTCCAACACAGAGCAATTCTATGGCAGAGAGCTGCTATTTAAAGAAAAGAAGACAGAAGTCGGTGGGAGAATTTCCAGCTGTCAAAGGTGTGATGGTACGACACATGAACTGTCCCCCCCGACCTCCGCTACCCTCCCCCCCCATCGCCCAGCTGTGTGAGAGAACCGACTGCCAAACAGGAAAACAACCAGCCGGTGTGGCGGCGTACCGACTAACAAAAAGTTACAGCTATACTCCGAGGTGTGTGATTGTATCAAAGAAGGCGAGAATGTGGTGGTGACCAACTTTTTTTTTTTTTTAAACGTAGAGCCCAACAACTTAAAGAAGAGCTTTCAGGTCCTCACCATGGATTGTATAGTCGTATAAAGGTTTGTAGGGCTGCGTGGTGGCACAGTTCATTTCCCACCGTGAACGTGCTGCGTGCTCTGACGTCCTCCCACGGTCGGAAAACATGCCTGTTAGGTTTTCCTGACTTCATTACAATAATATTTGACTTGTACATGCATTTGTAAGGCTTGTCAAATATACTCGCTGTGTTTAATTATGTAGACGTCAGTCATTAATAACAGGAGAACATTTTAATCTTTTTTTTTTGCAACTGGATTCAAACTTTAACCTATAATGTAACCCCAAAAAAAAAAAAAAGAGGTGAGTAATAACACAGCCTTAGAGGAAACACGGAGGTTCGAAATAGAAGCAATAAATCATCAGCCTACGAACAGTGAACTAAAATATAAACGCTTTTGTTTTTGTTCCCTTTTTTCTTTTGGTTATGAGCCGAACTCAAACATCCAAACCTTTTTCTGCATAAATAATAGACCTGTTTCTCTCATATATTGTTCATAAATCTGTCTAAATCCGAGTGAGAGAGGACTTCTTTCCCTCCGTCCCTCTTTACAGGTGTGGTGTATCAAGATGCTGATTAGACAGGATGATTATCACACACTGCTGGTCTCAATTAAAGGTCAATCTGAAATGTGTAGTTGAATCCCAACCCGGGATCTTTCCTCATTCCCCCACCACTCCCATGTGTTAGCTAGTCTTCTGCTGGTTTTGGTCTTGCACATGAGCTGCGTGTGAAACTGATGTATTATTATTCACAAAGTATCATACATTATATCATTACAAAGCTGACCCCACACATGCAGTGTATGTACCTTTTTTAAAAGTAATTTTTTCTTCATGTTGAGCTTTTTGAAACACACCTGTTGGTTTTTTTTGGTGGCCGTTTGCCACCTTGCCACGACACTATGATGAAAGATTCAGCTGTCATTTGGCGCCGGGGTAGGTTATGATTTGTTTTTCTTCAGGTTAGCCGCCTGCCAACAGTTGGAGGTGAAAAAAAAAAAAAAGAAGGAAAAACTCATCTTGAGCCAGCCAGCTTAAAGCTCTCGCTCTCTCTCTCTTTTTTTTTTTTTATATTTCTTCTACTCCTGTGCAATAGAAAATTTGATGGCACAGGTGAAAACCCGTTATGTTTATCGACTGATATGAGCGATACTGATCTGAAAGCCGTTATTTTCTCTCCACCAGACTGTCATTTGGCTGGCTGTGTGAATTCAAGCTCGTGCTGGATTCCATTCTTTTACTGCCAGGCGGCTGCGTGATTTGTGCTGCGGCAGTCTGGACTCGGCAGCTCAGTGCTGTTTCCTGATAAAGGGGTCAGGCTCAGCCTCACACCCACCGCCGGCCCACGGTGTCACTTAGTAGTCTGTTTCCTGTCAGTCTGCTCCCAGTGAACAACAGGTCGCTCTCCCACCTTTCTTTTTTTCTCCGCCAGGTCTTCCACAGAGCTGGCGATCCATTAACTAAACCCCTCGTGCCGCTGTGTCCTCTCTCTCTCTCTCTCTCTTTCTTTCTCTCTCTCTCTATCTGGGTGAAAACTGCCGGATGGATTTTAAACTTGTTGATTAGTCTGAGTCAACCTCAGAGCCAAAACTCCTGTGGTCACACTCTCTTCATCATCTGCAGAGAGACACGAGACCACACGGAGGGGACAACAAAGGTTTAGCAAAATGGAGACCGCGTCGAAAGTTCAGATCGGCAGAAGAAATAACTTTTGTAGGCAAGAGCGGAGTTGGAGAAGCTCTGCGAGACGAAACGGCTTTGATCGCTGCATCAAAGATCAGACTTACAGAGCCTGGAAAGGTTTTCTAAAAACAAAACAAGAAAGATAAAAGGACTGAGATTGAGAAAAAGAAATGAGCTTCTTATCTTTTTTTTCTTCCAAAGGATAATTTAGCCCTGAGATATTGTTCTAGTCAAGATTTCGCCGGCGTTTGAAAGACGTTTAAACATCAAATTCTGAAAAAGGGCCGTCTTGAAGAGGAACCACAGCAAGCCGACCAAACTTTACAGTTTCCAATTAAAAGTTTTCCTCTTTATTCTGTCGTGTTTGGGCTTCTTGTTTTGCTCCGTTTAAGTAAGTCAGCTGGCCTGGGAATACTTGACCTGGGATTAAAACTGAAGATGATGGATGGATGGATGGATGTTTTTACTTGTCGCTTGTTTTTACCTCAAACGCTCAATAGACGGCACTAGTCTCACACCTGTGCATTACCCAAGTGAAAAAGAGAAAGAGGCACTGATTTCTAAAAAAACAAGCGACTGAAGTTTCCAGAAGCAGGAGGGTTTAGCCGCCATCTTGCTGTTTGGACTGAAGCCAGCGATGCTGCTGAGAGGCTGGTTGTGCTGCAGGAGCTGAATTTATACAAGGATGTCAAATAAGCTTATATATTAAAAATGATCCTCCACTCAGTTATTCTATTCATCTACACACTGATAAAACTGATCTTTGAATTTGACTAAAATGACTAAACATCACGACTCGCGTTTATTTTGAAAGGGGAATAAATGTGTACGACACATTTAAGGGTTGCAAAACACAACTTAGAAGAAGAACTCATCTGATATTTTAATATTATTCTCTTTTAAATTTAAGGGTCTTAAGGTTTACTTGTTTCATTGCTTGGTTTAAAAAAATCGTTGCGTGACCAAACGCATTATTTTCCTTCCATATGATCCTAGAATGTTGCAATCACTTATTTTGTATATACCTTGATAAACTGTCTAGTAATTTGAGTAATTTTTTAATAGGTTACATGAAAAAAGTTTCACACTATTTTGCTTCAATGTTTTCTGTTGCTTATTATAGTATTCGGTTGATTTTCAACACAGAACAGCACCGCTTTAACAAACTGCAGTTTTTAATGCCTGAATGTGTCGTGGTGGCTCACCGAGCCTCCAGAATGGCCGGCGCACGGCTCTGTGTAATCTGTTTCTGCTTCCCGTCCTCGTCTCCATGAGCTCACAAACACATTATGAATTTAATCACACGCTTCTTTCGTTTGACGCCACAATGACAGTTGCTGGTCGCTCGCTGAAGAAGTCCTTCTTCTTCTTTTTTTTTTTTGGCGTCGCTCCAAAGTGGGGAAATCCATCAAGTTGCCGGCCCGTCTCCCCCAAAGAAAAATCATCTGACTCTCAGCTCTGCTTTGAGACTCAGTCAGAATTCAGTCAGACGGAACTCCTCCGAGGATTCGTTTTACTGATTCATTCTCAATCACGCAACAGACACGCTGATTCTACAGCCACTTTGCATTTATTTTTGCCCGAAGGCAGAACTGTGGAACGAAAAGTCAAAATCTGAGACCATCAATTCTTGCGTATAAAAGCTGTCAATAACATAATGCTTTGTCAATAATACTTTAGGGTTGCTGTTAACCTTCGTCCCAGGGGTTAAAATCAAGGAAAGAAATGAAGATGTCATGAAAAATATTATATTTTTGATGTTTTTTTTAATTGACATGAGCAAATGTTAAGGTACAATCTATCACACACACACACACATTTTATTGTCAGACCAGTCCCAGTATATCATCATGCCCTGTGATCCCATGTGACGGGTTTTGCTTAATAAAAAGTTCCCACCCACAGCCACCTTTCTCAACAAATATATTATTCCATTTTAGCTTTTACAAGACCCTTAAAAATAGAGCACAGAGGTAATAACTCATTTCTATGAGTCCAGCAGTGATAAACAACAGGGTGGTCAGCTAAATGGGTGCAGCGAAGTCCAGAGACAGAGCGAAACCTGACAGAACCGTCTTTTGGTCTTTATTTAAACCTTAGCCATCAACAGAGTCAACATCTCTTCAACATAATAGCCCTACAGATATATTCATACCCGTTGAACTTTTTTGTATTTTATCACATCACAGGCAAAAAAAATCCAGCGTCTTTAATTGGGATTTTATTTAACACACTAAACTGGAACTTAACAGGCCAGAATACCTCAAAAAACCAAAATCTTAGCAAGTATTTTTGGTCTACTTTCTACTTTCTACTACTACTTTCTAGTACAAATAACTTTATAAGACAAAATGAACTTAAAAGTAACTTTTCTGCTAAAAGGTAGGAGTTTGTTTTAAGCAAATAAATACTTAATATTGATGGAAAAATACTAGTTCTATTGGCAGATTATCTCACTTATAACAATACGTTTTTGCATCGTTATAAGTGAAATAATCTGCCAGTGGAACAAGTACTTCTTTAACAATTTTAAGGAACTAGTCACTTGAAACGAGCTTCTATATCTTGCAGAAAAGTAACTCTTCTGCTGTAACATAAGATGTCAAAAAAGTTAGCAAAAATGGAGATTTTGCAATTTCCTGCACTTTTGGAAAATGAAAACAACAAAAAAAAATCTTAATATATTGTCTGCACAAACCTTCACAAATGATGTATTGAATTTGCACAAAGGACCGTCAAACCTATGCCACAGGCAACATCTCAGTCAAGCGAGTGAGACTGCGTAAAGCTGATAAAACAAATCGCAAACATCACCAAACAGGATCCCAACGGAGGGAGAAACTCACCCACAATGCTTCATCCAAAGAACATTAACACAGATCCTTTCATTATTTTAAGCGTAAAAACCCCCCCCCCCCCCTCCCACCCACAAGCACCCCTACAAACTGACAGCTTACAACAAGCAACGGGAGCATGAGAGGGAATTAACCAGGCATATTCTTCAAACACATCAGAGCACGTCGTCACATTAGGTGTAATGAGCTCAGATGGCTGTGCTGTTAATTAATCTTTATTTTGTGCCGGGCGCTGTCTGCACCATTTTATCAGTTTGGTATTTCATCAGACTCGGCGAAAGAGTGTTTGTACTATCGAAACGTCGTCGTCCAGTAGTGAAAAACAACCCCCCCTCCCCCCCCGAAAAAAAGGAACTCGGCAAGAAAACGATTGAACGGAACACTTTCATTTTCATGAATCAAAACACTGATGCTGCAGAAGTGACGGAGAAAGAAACTGAGAAGGCACCAGCACAGATAACGAAGGAACACAGAATTATCTATTTTTTATACGGAAACATAAGAACCTTGGAGCATGAAAAACTGGGAGTGCTAATATTGTATTTAATAAAATACAGGCATTGGGATGGGTGACCTGTTGCGAGAGGAGGTCAGAGAGAGACCAACTGAAATAAGAAACTGGGAATAACAAAGCAATAAAGCTGAATACTGTGATAACTTTCCTAAACTGGAAGCAGAATTGGAAACTAGAAGTTCACAAAAATAACTTAACAAAAATAACAATGAACCCTTGAGATTACGACAGCAGAGATATGCAGTGTTAATGTACAATCAAATTAAAACTGCTCACTTTGTTGTCTCTGGGATTTGTTAGAATTAAATACTCACTGATCTCGGTAAGGAGAGAACAAAGACAAGGCATGAAGCAACAAGACTGGTGAACTGCTTTTTTGTATTGTAATTTTTCATTTATTAGAAATTAGCCATTAGCTAGCCCAAGCAGACAGGGAAACTGGTTTTGGGGTGAATAAATCCGACTAACCCTCTTTTCCCATTTCTAGATCTGCCTGGCACAAAATGTTGTAGAATTAAAGCAAATTCTTCTTAGTCTGCAAAAAAGGAAGCCAAAAATTCTGCCCAAGTTATTATGGACTTGATGATGGATAAAGAGTTTGTGCAAATTTAAGCAGTTATGTCTGGGAGCTTATGTAAAACGTTTACATTGTACGGATCATACATTTCTGACATCTGACAGAACTCTCCTGGACTGCTCATGCTGATAAAGTCACTTCCTCTCTTACATTTTACAATACCACAAAATACAATATGTGTTTGCTATTATTGTGAAGTTGTCTTTTGTATAATTAGTCAACTTTGAAAAATAAAGCATCAGATAAATCAATAAAAGACCCAAATTATTGTGTCGTTCATTTCCATGTTGCATGTGTGCAAAATTCTGATCAAATCACTAGGAGACCTTAAAAAAACAAAAACAAAAAAACAAAAAAAACAAAGGTGAGATTATGTCAGAACATCTGTATGTCCCTTCTTATGTCTTATCATGATAGTACTACCACAATTATTACACACTGGATTTATGCAGACATGACTGCAGTGAAACTCCCAGCAGGGTGAAGATGTTTGCATCAGTGTGTTATTTTTGTGTGTGTGTGTGTACGTGCGTATCTTCAGAGCTCGTGCTGCTTGCTTTAAACTAACATCAAGTGGGTCGTATACAAGAATAGGAACAGCTGTGGGCTCGCTGCGCCTGCAGTCGTCTGTGTTTGTTTCTAGACAGTTTACTGCAAATGTTGCATAAATAAAGCAAATTTATGGGTATGCTCAGTAAATGCAAAACAAACTCCTAACCTCATTCGAGCTAAAAGTCTTTAAATTCTCCATGGTACATCCTAGCTCATTAATTTCTAATTAGCTGGCGTCTTGCAGCCGTAGAAAAAGCAACACGAGCTGATCAACTCAAAGAGCAGATATAAGCACAAGGTGTCTGCACAAAATTTTTATTTTAAGTTATTTTTTTTCTACACCGGCAGTCAATTTTGAAGAAGTGGAACACTGGTCATTGTTTTTGCTTTACAGTTACAACCATATGTGCAGATATATCTGAGTAAGATGTAATAAAAAAACAAAGAAAAACACAGCTTAAGAGGGAAAAAAAAAGAGAAGACATTACTTTTTTTTTTTTGCAATTTTTTCCCATCAAGAGGCAAAGATAACCCTCACACATAATAAAATCCAATCTGAAATCCAATCAAGCCCCTTCTTACTAATGTTTTTCTTCCATAAATAATTATAATTAATTCAAAAGATGGCTGCTGATCTGCAGATGTGTAGTTTGTATTGATTGTCTTTTAAGTAGCTTTTGTTTTGCTCTGACTCGCGAGCCGACTGCCAGGTTATGATTTCCTTTCTCCGGTTCTTTGATTGTCTCAATCAGTGACTCAGAGTCAATGTGCTTCTCATTTGCTTCTGTTACTTCAGCCTTTCTGCTAATCTATAGTGCAACTAGCATTTATATGATATACTATTTAATAATTCTG